GGGCGGGAGGGGCAGAGAGAGAGGGGTGGGGGAGAGAAAGAAAGAAAGAAAGGAAAAGAAAGGAAAGAAGGAAGGAAAGAAAGAAAAAGAAAGGAAGGAAGGAAGGAAGAAAAGGAAAGAAAGAGAAAGAAAGAAAGAAAGAAAGAAAAAAGAAGGAGAGAGAAAAAAGGAAGGAGGGAGGGGGGAGGGGGGGAGGGAGGGAGGGAGGGAGAAAGTTCTGTCATGCGGGATTGCAAGGGACTTTGAAAGGGTCAGTGGTATGGAGGAAAGGGTATACTTGCAGATTCTAACAGGAAACTAAAAATGTTATGGATATTACTATAACCCATGCCATTTGCCTTGGTTTATCTTCAAGCCTAGAAGATCCCCTCTTGTCAAAAAAACTGTTTACCGCTAGACATATTTCAAGACTGGAGCAGGTGTCAATTTGGCAGTCTATTTGGGAGTAGACTGCCAGAGTTTCGTATTTCCTCTTCAGTCTCCACCATTGCTGTATCTATCCTGTGATATCATCATCTACTTTAATCCTTGGGAAACACATAGCCAGTTTCAGGCTGTGACACCTTTGTGTTTCCCATGGGTTTAATGGAATTACATTGTGGAATTACAATGGTGCTGCTATGTGGAAATCTTGAAGCATTTTTGAGTGTGTTATAGGATACAGGAGAGAGAAGTGTTTTATATATAGAACGCGCAATTCAAGAAGGGGAGGTCTTGTTGGATAGGAAGAATCTAGGCATCTTTATGAAAGATTCAGCTTTTAGGTCTGTAAGACAGATGGAAGCGCCTTGTTTGTTAACCCTTTGCCAGATTTTTGTTCCTTCCCTGCAGGTGAAGATGAGATAAATTTACACCCTTAGGCCAGCTGCAAACCTGGATCTCCACTCCCAGCCCACAGCCCCATTGCTCCTTGATCATCCCCTCTGCTTCTGTCATATAGTAATGGAGAGGGTTACGAGGCCTAGGTAACTGGGTTCTTGACAAATGAATCTTTGTTTTAAATATGATCTGGGTCCTGAGTATAGTGTATGGCCCTTCTGTCCGGCAAGGTATAGATCCAAACCATTTCTTTGACCCTCACATTCCCAATTCCATCCCTGCTTCCTTTATTCTCAGATAATAACCCTTACCTGCATCTCCACTGAGATCAGTGTCATCTACATTTTATTCATTTGTTGCCTTCTTACCTGTAAAACAGCTCATCTCACACCCTACTTTCCAAAATAGAATGTATTCTTCTGTTCATTCCTGCTTCCCTTTCATCCTTAGAGCAAGAAATGGTAAGGTACCTTTTTAAGGCAGGGTAAATGTTCTTTCTGGGCTCCTGGTGTCATGTCTCTTGGTCATTTGTATGCTTTTGCACTTCGGTTTCTCTCTTTCTGCTAGATTCTTTCCTCTTCCACAAATAGGTATAGGTCTCTCTTTTTTTTATAACAAACAAAATGTACACAAAACCTTTCATTGGTTTTAAACAATATCCCATTAAATCACCAGGCCAGCGCTTATCATCCATCCGTTCAACCTTTTAGCCATCTATCCATTCAGTCTTTAAACCATCCATCCTTCCATCCATCCATCCATCCATCCACCCATCCAACATTAACTGAGTGACCTTATTTTACACATTAGGCAACTGAGCCCCAGAGAATCAAGAGTACCAACCAAGACATACAACTCAGCTATTACGAAATATTTTAGGGCCTTTACCTTTCAGCTAGATGGTAGGGTCATTGTTGACTTCCTGAATGACAAACCTACTTGATGCTTTTTAGTTCTCATCTTACTTGATCTGTATAATTCTTGGGGTAGAGAGATTACACTTTTAAAAACTGTGAAATGTGTAAATTTATGTTTTAATTTTATGGTTATTTGTCAGATTAAAAACTGTTTTGTTCCACTGTGGCAACTCCATTAAGCTACTAGCATGTCTAAGGGCTAGTTTTAAAATCTAAATTTGTTTATGAGAGCTTTGCTGTTTACACTGTAGGTTATGCACCAGGGAGAATAATTCAAAGTGACACCAAATATGTGCGTGTTAAATAACACCATCTGCCCATTTGGATCTGTGCAGCTCTTTAAAAATACTGTGAGGTTCTGGCCCAAATCCTGTCATGTTTCAGGATATGGGACAGATTATTATGCTAAGACCCCAGATTAGAAGATTTGGTTTGAAGTTTAAGAAGGCTTCAAGTCCTTTCCTACTTCGTTTTAGTAGTTGTTCATTTAATTCATATTAGAGTGTCAGCCCCAGGGCATTGTGGACACTAGTATAAAGGACTGTGTTAGGAAAGAAGCCATCTACTGCTCTGATAGGTCAGGCTTGAGAAGACCCTCCTTTGCCTCCCAAGTAGCTGCATGAATAACCCAGTCTTCACTGAGGTCTGTTATTTTTGCATTAGAAATACTGGGTGGAAGGTCTGTCTCCTGTTATAATGCAAATACCCCATTAATATGAATCATTTATACCTTAGGATGTATTATCCAGTCCCATTTGATAGACTACTTCTGGATTAGTTTTGATAGCTAAGAAAGCAAAAAGAGACAGTGGAGTTGGAGGGCATTTGAAAGTGAAGATTTTAAAAGGGAAACGATAGGCTACATCTGTCTGTTTAAATGAGCAAGAGAGTTATAAAAAGATGTCTTGTTTTAGGGCCCTAGTAAGATTAGTGGCTCAAGAGCCGGGGCTTCAGGCTAAATAGCTACTTCATTAGCTATGTGACTCTGGTCAGGTCACCACACCTTGACATGTAGCCCTCATTCCTCATCTCTAAATGAAACTGTTCATGGTCCTTTAGGGTCCCTTTTAGTGCTGACGTTCTCCGATTCTGCTAGAGAAACTGAGAAATCTGAAAGAGTCCCAAAGTGGTTTTTTTGGGGGGGGGGAGGGTGAATGGGAGCAACTTGTGAGAGGCATTGTGGGTCTGTGGCATGCACTGGTAGTAGCAGGGGCTACATCTGTGTTCTGTGGCCCTGGAGCACAGCCCATGCCTGGATTGGAGCATTTAGTGCTGTGTAAATGAATGAATGAAGGCCTGGCAGATGCCTTAACAGCATAAAATAGAAAGCAGAGTAAAGACTTGGGGCAAAGAAAACTCTACCCCACAAGTGTTTGAGAGCCATTGCCAGTTCTGTGACCATTGTTCTAGGTCCTTTGGAGCCTTCCATCTCTTCTAATAAAGGCAAAGCCATGAATCTTTTTTGGGTGGTCAGGACCAAATGGTGAGCAGTCTCTTTTTTCACAATGATTACCATGGCTCTCAGCCAACCATTTAGTAACAAGATGTTGTTCTATCCTGAATTGTAGACCAGCAAGAAGAAGGATGCACCACAGCAGTATGTGAGGTGTGCTGACTATGTACAGCATCGATGTAATAAATGATAGCTCTGCTATTGCTTTTGGGAACCAACTATGCAGAAGGCACTGAACTAGGTCTTTTACATGGGGTTTGAATCTAGATGTTTTACATGAGTGTGAAATTGAGGACCCTCAAGGGTAAATAACAAATATGATTTCCACTTTACAGTTGAAAAAACTGATGTTAAAATAGATTAAATAACTCACTTGAGGTTACAAATTCCCTTCTAGATCCATGGTCAGTAAATTTGCCATTCTTGAACTTTCTGCTTTCTTCAAGCAAGATCTTTTATTCCTAGCATTCCAGATGTTACAGACTGGTCCTATCCGTTCTTAGCTTTCACATTGTATTCTCCCTGTCTTCTCAGTCAAATTACTTAAATGTTTTAACATGTGAAAATTCATATAGTCAAAAGGAATAACCCCTTGGAGTTAAATCAAGTTTTCCTGTTATAGGATTGCAAACATTTGGTTTGATTAACAATTCCTTCTGGTCATTTGTAGATGTTCTTTCTGTCCTTTTAAAGAAATTTTTGGTAGAGCAAAATATCAATTTTTAAATGATAGCCCAAAGTCCATTCCACAGAAGATAACAAAATCTTGTTTTTATGAAATAAGTAAGGATAAAGGTAATTAAGTCTATGTTATTTCCACATTCTATATTATATTACAAAAATATAGTATAGTTATCCTAGGAGACTCTGGGATATAGTTGATTCTTAAATTTCTTCTGTATAGTGATTTGTGACTGGTTAAGGAACGAATCTCAAATCAGGGAAGCCAAGGAAAGGATGTGGGGAGAGAAGCTTCAAACAGTGGTGGGAAAGTGCTCAGAGGGGGTTTGGGGGTAGGGGCAGGTAAAAAGATTGCGGGAGGTGGCTGGCTTTCCCCATGCTCAGGAGCCCTGATTTCAGTCTAGTCATGTGAGCTTCGGTGCTTCTTTCCTTTTATTAATGAAAGTTATTTCTTTTCTTCCTTGCAAACAGCACATAACAACTGGTAAGCTTGTGAGCTAGGAAACATTAATGGTGTACAACAGATGCTAGCATTTACAAAGCACACTCAGCAGGTGGGATGCTACTGAATCTCTCAGCAGTTGGGTGCCCTCGATACATGAAATAGGATGGCTTTTATTCTTTCTGTAAAGCCGGATTTCTCTAGGGAGATGCTTTTTTTAAAACAGAATTCTACTATCTTAAAAATGTATGCAGTTATGACTTTATCAGAATATAAGATGCCAAGAATTGGAATATTTCATAAGCCATACTTCTAAAACTGGCTTGTTGGTATTCATTTCTGGAATTGTTTTTTAGCTATGGTGATTTTATTATCAGAATATTATGTAAATTTGGAGGAAAATAATGAGCAGCTCTTAACAATGTTCTTTCACCAGGATTGTAGCTATAAATTTTCCTTAAAAACCAGTATTAAGTGGACAAAACAGCATTGAGAAGTTAAAATGTAATTGGTATTTACTTTTATCAAACTTCTTAATTTTTAGAAATAAACCATTTTTTTGGAATAAAAATGTTTAAACCAGTGTTTAAGGTGGGTATAATTAGTAAGTGCAGCACAGTTATGGGCATGTACAAAATCATAGCTGGTAACAAGGACCCTAATCACGCTTATTATCTTTCTGTTCTAGATATTTGAATGGTGGTATTTTCGCAAATATGGAACATCATTCATTGAACAAGTCTCAGTAAGCCACTTGCGCCCCCTTCTGGGAGGGGTTGACAACAACTCCTCCAACAATTCTAACTCCAGTAATGGGGACTCAGATTCCAACAGGCAAAGCGTCTCAGGTATGGAAAGTCCTTCAGTCTGCAACATTATTTACTTACTCTTACTAAATTATTATGACTATAAGACAATAAGAATGTTGTTATTTAAAGATTAGACTTCAAAGAAAAGTACGATTTATTTTCCCAAGAATTTGACAACTTCTACAAGAGAAGTAGAGTATAAGCATCCCAGGGAAAGGAAATGTTTATCTTGTTTAATTTTACTTTTTCTTCCATTTGATTTAGCTAATGATCATTTAGGTCAGTGGTTCCCACCTGAGTCTCCACCTCATTGTCCTTAGTGCCTCAAACCTCATTAAATGTATCCATTCTCTTCCATGCTAATTGTAGAACCTTATGTCTAACTAGATCTGGTAACATCACTCCTCTGCTTAAAAGTCTTGGTTGGTTCCCATTCCACTAAAGATAAAGCCCAGATTCCAGATTACTTAGCACAGCATAAGCTGCTTCTATCTTGCCAACCTTGGTTTCTGTCATTTCTTGAACGGGCCATGTTTTCTCATGACCCTCTGCCCAGAAGTCTGTCTTCCCTCCTCCGTGCTTGCTCATCTTTCACAACCCAACTCAAATGTGACCTCCTGGGAAGCCCCCTCTGATAGGCTGTACAATATTTCTCCACCTTTGTTGACTCATATATTTTTACCTTTAGCAACATTTATTAAATTGTACCGAAATTTTTAAGCTTACTGCTTTACCGTAATATCTCTAGCATTTTGCATAGTGTCTACTATATCACTGAAACTCAGTGAATGAATGAATGAGGGCATACATGGCCTGTAATTTCTCTACTCATGAAAGAAGAGGGACGAATATAATTTCCTAGCTTGGTCTCTTCATCACCTCAGTAAACATTTCCTAACTCTCTAACATGGACTTGGCCTTATACAGGTTCTTATGAATATTATGATTTTAAAAAATGTCGAAGTCCTTGTCCCCATTGAACTCTTGTGTCTACTGAAGGGAGACAGAGGGTTAAGTGCTCTGATTATATGAGGGAAACATGCAATACTTTGGAGTACAAGGGAGGGCTTCCCGATCCAAACTGGGGGAAGAAGTTTGCTTCTTGAAGGAGAGGGTACCACTTCTGAGACTTGAAGGATGAAGAGGGAGAGATTAAAGAACTAAGTTAGATCTTTTTTCTTTCCTCCCTAGAATAACTCAGTTCATATTTCATAACTGTCTAGCCAGGTGATAGGCATCAAGGGGCATTGTATATATATTTTATTCCTGATGTTGATTCAATGCTCTTTTAATATAATAGAACCTTTGCCAGCCGGCCATGAGTGGTAGTGGGCACCTCTGAGTACACATTTATTTCATTCTAAAGGGTACACATGTGAGAGATGGCACCACTCAGGTAACAAAATTGTCTGGGACTTTATAAACTCATCTGCTTTGTGGAAGAAACAGAAAGAGATCTGAGCAAAGTGAAATATTACTTCAACCAGGTACTCTAACACACGTGGCATATTATTCTAATGAGGAATCTTGATCATTCAGTCATTGTCACCATGGATAATTGCCTCACTTTGCATATGTTGGAAGACCCTACAGATTAAATGTGCTCTTGTCTGATCTGATTTACTACAGTCTTTGTATGTCACAGAACATTGTAGAAAATTAACAGATTGAAAACAGAAAGCAACCTCATTTAAGGACATTTTTTATTGTGAGTACATTTTTATTTTCATTAAAATTCTCGCTCTGTCCAATTTAACATCATTCCGTAATGCGACGAAGAGTTCATACTCTCGTATTGTTGCTGTTACTTTGCTGACTCTCTGTGGATGCCTTGAATAAGCCTTATGCATTATATAAATCTTGATGCTATTCTTAGTGCTGGTACAGCAGTTTTTAAAGGGAGAATCTCAGTCCTTTATAAAAATACATTCGACAATGATGATCATGGAACTTCCCAATTTTATTTGTACTGAGTTTTTACACTGCTAAGACTAAGCTTTTGAATATTATTATTAATTCAGTTTCACTAGTATTTGCTGAATGTCTACTACTATGCATGCAGTATTTCCATTCATTTCCTGTAACAGATACAGCATTTATGATCTGATCTCATAACAGTGTTCAAATAATTAGATTTAGAAAAATGGAAATTATCTTGTCCAAGTATATTTAGGGCTCAATCTGCCTACTTCTCCTTGACATCTGGGTTTCTAATATTTGGTTAACTCAGCTCAACAAACATGTGTGTTGGTATGGAAGTGCCAGGTTCCATGGGATTAATACCATTTCCCACTTCTCTTTTCTTGTGGTGATTTTTATTTTTGAATAAGAAAAATGCTATAAAAGTACATTGTCTCTGTTTATCTCTACCCTTAATCACTTTCTATTTCATAGTCTAGTTTCAGCTAAGTATAAAGGAAAAAGAAGGTCCAAAGCTGAGGGTAATCAATACATTTTCTTAAAATAGAGGAATTTGTTTTAAAATTTATATTGCCTTAATAATGATAAAATGACTATTGCCTTAATAAAAGAAGCATCATAAGATAGCTCTTTGCTGAATCTTACGTGAAATAAAACGTGGCTAACCAAGTCCCATGGACATTTGCAAAGGCAGTTAAATGGCATTTCTTATTTGAAAAAAATCATTGAAAAAGTTAAAAACAGACAGAAAATACTAGTTATAAACATTGGACTATATGAAAACTCATAGTGTAGCTCTTTCTTTAAAGAATCATTTGTTTTGATTAAAAGCTGAAAGACCTGGCCTACCTAAGAATAATTTGGGGTGGAGAAATGGGAAGGGAGAAAGTTGTAATTGTTACAGGAGACTATTCATATATTGTTTAACATTTGGATTTGTGCAAATTGGCCTGAGTGCAGACCCTCTCAAAACTTGCATTGATCTTTATCTGTGGGCCAGAAGAGAAATGTAGTTAATTATACAGCTTCTTTTTTAAAAAAATATTTATTTATTTACTTGCTGTGTCAGGTCTTATTTGCAGCATGTGGGATTTTTTGTTGCGGTGCACGGGCTCCTCTCTAGTTGTGTCGCGCGGGCTCCAGAGCTCTTGGCCTCTGTAGCTGCGGCACGCGGACTCTGTAGTTGTGGTTCACGGGCTCTCTAGTTGTGGTGCGCAGGCTTAGTGGTCCCGCAGCATGTGGGATCTTAGTTCCCCGACCAGGGATGGAACCAGAATCCCCTGCATTGCAAGACGTATTCTCAGCCACTGGAACACCAGGGAAGTCCCACAGCTTCTTAATCTAGCCAAATTTCAGATTGTCTGGTTTAGGTTAACATTTATGAACGTTTCACTTATCTCGATTTATTTTGGGAGCTAAACTGCTATTTTTCTCACAAATATACAGTTTCTGATAAACCCTGCTGATATATTTTCCATGTCATCATGTTTCCTGCTGCCATTCCTTAATTCAGCTTAACTTATGAACTGATGATGCACAAGGATTTAAAACGTGTCCAACTTCTCCCTGTCTTAAGGGAAGGGATTCTCAGGGTCCAGTAACATTCTGAATTTGGGTTCATGGGACAATCTGTTTGATAATTTGCCCTGTTCTCAAATAAGATGTCATAAAGACAAAGGTTTGCAGTGTTCACCTTCTTCAAGATATTTACAAAAGTGCAGAGTGTTCCATCACATTAGAAGTATGCTTGTCAAAGTCAAGGTTAAATTCTCTGAGACACTTTAATAGCATCTTGCATAGAACTGGATCTTTAGACAAACTCTGGTTATAGTCACTTGGTTTCCTGTTGCAAATCATCTCATTTTAATCTCTATATAAGATAAATATATATCATATACATTTTTTAACATCCTTATAGGAATATAATTGCTTTACAATGTTGTGTTAGTTGCTGCTGTACAACAAAGTGAATCAGCGTATGTATACGTATATCCCCATATCTCCTCCCTCTTGCATCTCCCTCCCACCCTCCCTATCCCACCCCTCTAGGTGGTTACAGAGCACCGAGCTGATATCCCTGTGCTATGTGGCTACTTCCCACTAGCTATCTGTTTTACATTTCGTAGTGTATATATGTCCATGCTACTCTCTCACTTCGTCCCAGCTTACCCTTCCCACTCCCCGTGTCCTCAAGTCCATTCTCTACGTTTGCGTCTTTATTCCTGTCCTGCCACTAGGTTTCTCAGAACCTTTTTTTTTTTTTTTTGGATTCCATATATATGTGTTAGCATACGGTATTTGTTTTTCTCTTTCTGACTTACTTCACTCTCTATGACAGACTCTAGGTCCCTCCACCTCACTACAAATAACTCTATTTCGTTTCTCTTATGGCTGAGTAATATTCCATTGTATATGTGTGCCACATCTTCTTTATCCATTCATCTGTCGATGCACACTTAGGTTGCTTCCATGTCCTAGCTATTGTAAATAGAGCTGCAATGAACATTGTGGTACAATTTCCTTATTTTCTTGTCTCTTCTTTCCCATTGCCCATATTGACTTTTCTCCCCTTACTTTCCAGGAATAATAATATTTTAAATTTATAAGCATTTTCCTGTCCGCTGCTCCTTTTCTAATAGCATGCTATTCTTCTCTCATGGATGCACTATGGTTTCTTTTTCTTTTCTTTTTTTTTTTTTTTGCGGTACGCGGGCCTCTCACTGTTGTGGCCTCTCCCGTTGCGGAGCACAGGCTCCGGACACGCAGGCTCAGTGGCCACGGCTACGGGCCCAGCCGCTCCGCGGCATGTGGGATCTTCCCGGACCAGGGCACGAACCCGTGTCCCCTGCATCGGCAGGTGGACTCTCAACCACTGCGCCACCAGGGAAGCCCTGGTCTCTTCTTTTGAAGATATTAATTATAATTCCTTGAAATTCTCTTCTGTTCCCTGAATTGTCTGTTTCCTCTGAACTCCTTGTCTCTGTATTTGGTGGTTTCCTCAAATGCCTGATATCCTTGGTAGTCTACTTACTCATGGAAGAGTAAAGCACTGCTACGCTCGCCACACACGCACACTTGGGGATGGTGTCTGTAGATGGCAAACCTCATCCCAGGGTGAG